TTTTTTCAATGCTTTTACTTTTGCATTTACTTCTAGATTTATATATTAGGTTGCTCATGCAAGTGGCAAAACATTTACATTTAGTCATTTAGCAGACACTTTTATCTAAAGCGACTTACAAATGAGGACAATGGAAGCAATCAGAATCAACAAAAGAGCAATAATAAGCAAGTACTATAACAAGTCTCAGTTAGCTTAATGCAGTACACATAGCAAGTTTTTAAAAAATAATATAATAGATAAAAAGAAAACAGATAAAATAGAATAGAAAAAGCTAGTGATAGAGGTCTTTTTTGGGGTTTTTTTAATAAAAAAAAAACAAATAGATAAAATACAATTAGAATAGAGAGTGCTAGAGTTAGAGGGTCAAATAAAGACGGAAGAGATGTGTTTTTTTAGCCGATTCTTGAAGACGGTGGCGGCTTGTTGGGGGAGACAGGGGAGGCACAGTTTCCCCGAAATTTTGAGGTGAAAATGGGAGGAGGACGATTTAATGTTAATAAAATTCACAATTCATTTCAGTTCATGTCTCAGCATGTGTATTTTTGTTTGTAATTTCACAGCTGTAATACTATAACATGTTACTGAAGTTGGAAAGCGCCGCTTTTCTATCGCGAATGGCACCGAAATGAAAATTCTTGGCCGAAGCCGAACAAAATTAAACACTGGGCCGAATACCGAACACGGTTTTTCGAGTTTTTTTCCCCATGTATTTTGCTCTTTTTTTTTCACCATTGCATAAATTAAAAGGCCAAAATGTGCTTTTTACTGTTTTGTCTTGCTTTTCAAAAAAAATAAAAAAATCAATTACAAAACAACAATTTAAAAATATTTAACACTGAACATTTTTAACATTCTAGCAGACACTATACCAACAAAGCACAATTTAACTTAAAATTAATAAGTTAGTAAAATAATAATTTTTGGCCATCAGACCCCCTTCTTGAATCAGGCATGTATTATTATTATATATATATATATTTTTTTTACTGTACATTTAAAAGCAGCCTTGCTGAGAAGAGACTTCTTTTAAACCATTAGAAAATATTACAGATCCTAATTTGAACACTATGTAAATCGCATCATATGACCCCTTTAAAACAGAGCTGTTGTAATGATTATTATCATTATTATTGTCTTACTTTTTATTTTATTTTACAGAACAACAGTAAAATTACAATACTAACATTTATGAATGTTGATAAGAGTTCTTGCTTTTTCTCAACTTTTATTTTGGCGGAAACGCGCAGGAAGACCTCAATGCTTATTTTTGTTGATAACAGATTTATAAATGAGTCCCATTACAAATATGTCGTACGTATCGCATTGTCACATGCCTTGTAAAAATTCATAAAAATGTGACTGAGCAACTGACGACTGTATCAGCGCAGATGTTCCTCGCGCTTCGGACTCCTAACCCTGGTTAACAAGCAGATCTGCTGCTGCGTGTATTAGAAAACATAACGTTCTGCAGTTTATTTACTAATTGTTTAAGGCCATTTCGCAATTTCAATCATCATACAGTAACCAGCAACAATCACCCCTTCCTCTTCTCATTGAAGACACGCGATGCAGTCCTAAAACAGTCTCTCGCTGTCGGTGCTTGTAATGATTTTTGCATCTTTCTCCGACAGTTTAAATGCTTCCACACTGCGGTTGACGAACATTCGATGCATCCCTAAATATAAATTCAATTCTCGCGCACTTTAATGCCCTTTGAATTTAACGTGTACGTTTCCTTGGAACTGGAATCATGGCGGAATTTCATGTGAAGTCCACTTCGCAGGGCACTTACGGTCGAATAAGTCCATAGACTTAAGCTTTAAAGGGTTTCATCCAGGTCGCCAGTAGCAAACAATGGAGCGCGCTCTGCTGGACAAACTAAGTAATTACACAATTCCAAGCATTTTTATCTGCGTTATATGTTCTGTAAAAAAAAAAAATCATATCGGCAGCATTTCGGCGGCATATTCGCCGATACCGATATATCGGCGACAGGCTCATATCGGCCGATAATATCGGCAAAACGATATATCGGTCGGGCTCTATGGTTGACTCTTAACTTTTATAAAGAATATCTCTTTGAATTTGAGACTTTAGTCTTTGCAACTTTAACTTCAAAGAGAAAGGAAAAATTTAAATCGCAACATATGACCCCTTTAACATAAGGCAGCAACATAACAAAATTTGTAAAAAAAGAATACTTTTGCAAGGCACTGTATACAAATTAAAAATAAAAAG